GCTGGCCGGCGAGAGTGGCCACGTCACGGGTCGTTCTCGGCCATCGGATCGGGCGCGCGGATGGCCCAGATCGGGCGATCCGCGGTCATTTTACGAAAAACCCTTTCAACTTTTCGGAAATCAACCCGCGCTCCAGAGGCCCTCTTAGAAAATTTTGCAAAAAACACCTCATATTATTCTCAAATCAATCCGCAGTCCAGAACGGATGGGCTCTGGTTTTTTTGCAAAGAAGGCCTTCACTTTATCAAAAATCAACCCACGCTCTAGAGACACTCTCAGCAATTTTTACGAAAACCTCCTCAGATTTTTCTCAAATCAAAATACAGGACACCTTTGATTATATCTCTTTTTTTCTGACCTCATGGCTTGTAACAGCGACTGGTAGAGCGCCTCCAGGCCCTGGCTCAGCGCCTCCTCCGTCTCCAGCGCCGACTGCTGCAACCCGTACACGCCCACGATCTGCTGCTCCGTCAGGGGCTCCACGTCCACGTGGCTCAGCAGCATCTGTATATGTGTGTGTATATATATATAGACACACACAAGTGCAATTACTTTAATTAAGCATCTAAACGACATGCTCACATGCATGATATATGCAGCAGTTCATACGTGACCTGGGCCATGTATACGTACGCACTCATTATGCAGATGTGATGGAACGATAATGAGCCGATCGAATGTACTACCTCCATCCCCACCCAAAAAAAATGCAAAGGTCTGTGCATGCATAGAGACTAAGCTTGACTTGCCGCCACAAAGTTTCAGTTCTTTTAGGCTATTGTGGGCCTCGCATGTCAGTCTGATTTTTTCCAAAAAATAAATTAGCTGAAACTAAATCACAGAAAAATTATAAATTAGAAAATCAAGTTGATCTGAAATCCTAACGAGTAGAACTAAAACCTAACGAGCATAACTATGCAGTGCATCCATAATATCACATGTTTTAGTAAGAATTTTTTCATATAAACTTTTACCTGTGCTTTTAGGGGTAAATAAAATTATACCTTCATGATGATAAACTCTCAAAAATACATAAAAATCATAAAATAAACAAAAAATTGCTGATTTTCTCATCACTACACCTATATTCTTATTGCCACTGGCCTAATTAAAAGGGAAGACGCAGCAAAGCCGCGCCCGCGTTTCTAGTATATCTTAAACCTGACCACGTAATCTATTGCATCTCGACCAGAGAAATGAAAACCCCTAGCATATACCTTTGTCTTCAGGCCTATTTTCATGTCCTCATCTCTCCAACGTGTGACCTTGCTCTATATGCCACGATCTTCCTCTCATCCATCTCCTAGCCTTGCTCACCACTCAATGTAGACCCTAGCTCAATCACAACTCAATTAAAAGCATTAATCCACTAGTTGTCATTCAATTACCAAAATCAAACTTAGAGCTTTCAATCTCTTCCTTTTTGGTAATTGATGACAACCGCACAAACATAGGATTAAATTTAAATTTCAAGCTAACTTGGTAACTATAAACTTCACACAAGTGTAAATTGCTAACTTGGTTGGGATGTTATGGTTTCTTATCCAACATGGATACCACTTGAGAAGGATTGGATATTTTTTGAATGATTTTTATAAGAGGGTGCTAAAGTGAACTACCCGTGAAAATGATTTCTATAGGAGGTATGCTTAAGAAAACCATCACTAGATGGGTGAAAGGAATGATTCCCATATTATTATCAGTAGCACCTACGTAGTGGGATGGTAAGGAAGGATCGAGCGAGTGTTAAGGTTCTTGGATTCGAATCCTGGAGAACGCACAACTTTGGATTTATGACAATGACAAAAAAAAAATCATATGACGTAGCTGTTGAAAGGTGGATGAGGGGTTTGGGCCCAAGTTCAATTTTTCTTTTTGTATGTTTTACATCTTGTGTTTAGAATTTGTTTCCACTGGTGGTAGACTGCCAATAAAAAATCAATTTAGGGTCACACTGATGGTAAAAAACTAACATGAATAGAGATCAAATATACTGTCAGTAGAAATAGTTTTTGTACTAATGAGTAGTATATGTTTTGACGAACTCTTAACTAGCAGCACATATTTTAAGAAACTCTTAATAGTAGTGGAGTACTTCACTAGCTGTTATTTATTATCTGTGGGCAGAGTGTGAGTGAGTACTAAACTAGTGCACTACTACCAATTTATTAACATCATGAGATTATGCATCACCTTAGCTGATTTCTTGAGATAAGCATGAATTAATTATATAATTTTCCTTGATAAATCTGCTATTACAAGACTACAGATACAAGAAACTCTTAATTATGAAGCACATATTAGATGGCATGCATTAATAATTGTTTAGATATACAACCACTACTTTAAAATTCACCAACTAGCAGATCCTACTTATACCCCCAAAACTAAAAGCTCATTTGCAAACCAAAATCACACTAGAGCTGAAAGGTACCAAACAAACATTATGGCAACCAGAGCGGCATCTTTAGCTCTTTACTACATTCTCCTCCTCACATTGTGCTCAAGTTCGTTTCTTGCCTCAGTACAGTTACAATTTATACTCACTTTTGCTTACCAACTAAACTATTACCATTGCTCTATTTATGTAAAGAGGGGCAGAGGTTCGAGGCGTTGCTGCAAGTGCTACACCATATTGTGGCAGAAACTTCATAGGCAGCCAGGGCAAATGTGATGATACTAAATGTTGGTCATCGTGCCATGATAAATATTTCAGGCTTCCGAACGTCACTCATGTAGGTGGCGCTTGTGAAACTCCCACCTGTTGCCTTTGTGAGGTAGATTGTGAGTGAAATACTTAAAGTCAGCCTGTGCTGATGGTGCATTTTGACATGATGTACCATGTAACAGAGAAATAAAAATACTCCCTCTATCTCAAAATAAGCTGCCATTCTAGGATCGGGGGAGCAAACCAAAAGGCTGGTAATAAAATGATGCTGCTACCCCTGCAACTGACATCTCGCAGCTTTTTTTTCCTAACTTGTAATCGTCGCACAAATTGAAGTAGTGCTCGATTTTTTAAAAGAAAAACAAGAAAACATGGCTGCCTCAAACAAAATCCAAAAGAAAATGGTTTTGGCACTTGAGCTCAAGGACTATCCGCCTCCGTGGGAGGATGTGCCGTAGTAACCACCCCTCAACGAGAGGATGTGCCCTACATACCTGCCCTGTGTGAGGCCATGAATGTCGCATCCCTCCATGGGAGGTCGCTCGTCGGCTGTCCTATGTAATGTTGTGATTCTCACCGATGTTTTTGTTACTCAAGCCGACAGGCTTCATCAACCCTCACTTTCACGTTTACTTTCCTCTAAGGAAAAAACGATACAAAGATATCCGTTTTCAAGAAGTTGCGAACCTAAATATCGCCCAAAATTACATATCCCCTTCATGTCTGCTCCGGTCACCATTAGAAAGATTATTTTTTTTAATAATAGAACAAAGTTCTAGCCTCTATAATCCGATGATAGTATACAACTGAGCGTTAAACACAAAACAAGCCATAAGGCTCAAGTTCTTACAACCAGGCGTGGAATAAAGCAATAGAGTTTTAGCCCATAGGATGAGCTACCAACCACCAGAAAATAACTAAAAGCTACGCCTCAATTCGATTATGGAAGAGCTGAACTTTGCAAAGACCGCCTTGTCTCCATGTCTCTGCAGCCACACTTGAACAATGGATGCACCTCCTTCTATTTATGAATTTGACTTGCATGTTATTTTATTGTATCAGATCTGGTAAAAAATCAGTAATCTAATAGAAGAAAAATCAATAGAATATTTTATCATATTATAGAAGAATAGGTGATGAAACAAATATCATATATAGATGACTTTACGTTAATAGATTAGATGATGTGGACATTTTTTATAATTAATAAGGGATGACATGGATAGATATTGCGGCACTCTAGTTTTTTTGAATGCCGTTTTATTTTAGAGAATTGCTAAATTCTAGTTTTAGAATATATTTTTATATTGTCTCTTGGAGTTGCTCTTAATAAGACACTTAGTGGGGAATGATGTGGGCATCTTACATTAAGATATAAAACATCCAGTGGAGTTTATCTTTATAAGAGTATATAGATGATAGTTTTTTTACATTAGGCACTCCCAACTAAAAAAGCTAAGTTTCTATATTCATTTATTACGGTGCCAACTAAAAGAAAGATGATGTAGCATGGTAATTAAAAAAGTGAGAACAAAATAGTTTCTTAGATAACAAATTATGTTTACACGAGAGTGAAAATATAAAGAAATATGATAGGTCGCCGATGGATAGAAAACACATAACTTGAAAAAAAGATCATTATGTATATAAATTAATAGACATAGAAACTATATGTGATTTTTTATATTATAGAACTATTCTTATTAAATTCAAAATTATTTAACTTCTCTGTAAACTCGAAATGAGACTTTCATTCTTTTCATGAGGATTCCTTTCGTGGCCAACCTTACGCCCTGTTCGTTTGGCTGATAAGTTATGACTGAAAGTACTGTTGGCTGATTTATTGTGAGAGAAAAATACTATTTATTGACTGAAAAAGTACGGCTTATAAGCCAAACGAACAGGGCGTAAAGTTGGCGGCAATGAAAAGCAGCAGCAGCCAGCGCCCAGCGGCCAAGCGGAGGTGGCCTTATCACGGACGTTCGTCGTGTCATCCTGCTGTTCACCTTTCTCGAAGACCAAAGAAGAATTCACATATTCTACTCAGCAAGACGAATCATTCGTGTCTCGTCACCTGGCGCTGCATGCATGCTGCCACGTATCCGCCATGGCCGCCACCTCGAGCCAGCGCGCGCGCTTAATAGGATGGTGAGTTGGTGACCACTGACCACCAGGCTGCCTTCGTTCTCCTTTCTTCTATTCTAACCTCGCCGTCCGTCCCCGAGACTCCGCCTAGCTACCACCAATACCACCATCTCACCTGCACTCTAGTTCAGTGAGGCTAGCGATCAGTACTCGCGCACGCTCCAGCAGGGTCAGGGGCCGCACAGCCATGGTGAAGTTGGCGACGGCGCGCGAGTGCCGCGCATACAGCCTCGGCGCCGGCGCGGGTTCCGGCACGGCGTCGCGCAACCGGTGGGAGTACATCAACGCCGGGGTGTACATCTTCGTGGCGGTCCTCCTGGTCGGCGGGTTCCTGGCGCAGCTCCCGCCGTGGGGCGGGTGGTCCAGCAGGCCGGGGCTCGTGGTGACCGCGATCGGGCTCGCCGGCGTGCTGGCCGTCAACGCGCACGACCTCCTGGCGCACGTCGCCGGCGTCGATTACCGCCTCGGAATGGTGGCCGGGCTCGACGCGCAGCTGGCCCTCGTCGAGCTCGCCGTCCCCGCCGTGCAGATCGTCGGCACCGTGCTCATGCTCGTCGCTGTCATCTTCTTTGAGATTCAGGTCAGCCTCTTCTTCTCTATAATTTCAGTTCACCCAGCTGGTATTTGACCTTATATGATACATACAGATGGAGAGAGGGTACCGGCACAGCCTAGCCATGCACGGCCTGAACCTGCTCATAGCCGGGCCGGCGCTGTGGTGCCTGGGATCCGTGCACAACATCTGCCAGGTCTACGAGCGTGCCAGCGGGCACGTCCAGCTCCTGCAGAAGAGCGTGCAGATCCCGCTGCTTCTGGGGAGCACCCTCTTCCTCATCGCCGGCATCGTCAACCGGCACGACCCCCGCAGCCGCCACTCTGCCTTCGTGCTACTGGTAACTCAGCATTCACATGCACATGGACAAATTGAACTGTCAATTTAGTTGAACTCAGTAGAGCCAGCTGACGTGTATATATATATGGAACTCTGCTCTGGGCCGTCGTCACTCACTGATGAGTGCAGGGGAGGAGCTGGGCGTGGTTCTGCCTGTTCGGGAGCCTCCTCTTCCTGGCCGGCGGCGTGCTGAACCTGCTCAAGGTGTTCAAGACGCAGCAGATGGGCGGGCGGGGCCTGGAGAAGCTGCGCGGCGGCGCGCAGGAGCTGCTGGCCCTGCAGAGGGAGGGCAAGGTGCCCCTCATCCTGGAGCACGGCCACGGTGGCGGCGGCCGGACTAGGGGCCCTGCGTCAGGGGCGATGGCGCCGCCGCCACCGCCACCGCCACCGCCAGGGTCCTACAAGGACGCGCTCGTCAGCAGCGCCAGCTAGGAGAGGAACACCGAATGGCAATGCACCGTACCACCACCATGATGATGATGATGCCAATAAGTGAAGATGCCGTGCGGTCCGAGATTATGATTGGTGTTCCACCAAGTAGATAGATGTTCAGGAACTGTACTCTGTTTTTGATCATCACGTTCGCGCAATCACGACTGGTTGAATAAGATTTACTTCTGCAGGGGTGCTGACATGTCGGTAATAAGCGAATAAATTGCTCTCTGCTTCGCATCTATACCAGATATGAATAATAATATTGGGATATTTCGTCAATTTGAACCTCGTAGTTTTGACAAAGAAGTAGACGCCGAAAACCTCTAGATTAAAGAATTCTAAGTCCTAAAGTCGTGTCGATTTGCTGGCCGACGAGTCAATCAAATCGGACGATTGTTTTGCTGGCCTAATTGGAATCAAATCGGACGATTAATCAGTGGACTATAGTTCTGCGCTAATCGATGGCTACTCGCCAGTGGATGCTAGGACTTCTGGAGTATGGCACCTAACAGAGGTTCAGCATTGTTTTCAATTATTACAGAAACTATGTAGTGTCAAGTGTGTATATAGTCGGTACTATACTTCCATGCACAATACTTTCTGTAATTGAAAACATATATATTGCTGAACCAATAATAAGCACATAGATTAAACTAATGTAGAATGTACAGATCTACCAGACGAGTAGATGACAGAGTATGGGATGCGACATGTTCGACGAAGAAAATGGACGGCAGGACGATAGCGATGATATTTGACTGAGCTGTAAGCGCAGTGTGTCGGGCTGGTGTGGCTTGTCACGTGCGCAAATGTGGTAAATCCAAGATTTAAACTTCGTGGCTTGCCACATGCGCAAATGTGGTAAATCCAAGATTTAAACTTCTCTCTTCTGGCAAAATTATAAGTATTATCTTAAGAGTGATAATCGGATGAACATCCATCTTAATAATAGTAAAAATATAAATTTCCCCGGATGAGCCGGACTGGAGCAGGCCCGTGTCTTTTGGTGGCCCCCTTGAGAGGAACAGAGCTGAGGTGCTAGCCATTGCTTCAATTGCTCAGAGGGAGAAGGATTGGGAGGAGCAGTTGCTGGATTTGTGGTTGGGTTACGAGGATCAGCGGAGGAGATGGCGTGCTTTGGTTTCAGCTGAAAAAATCGATAGAGAGGTGTGAGGTCATGATAGTGATGTTAAAGCTTGGGGATTTTTTATAGATGGATTTAGTGTGTTGTTGGCTGCCGCTTGTATCGGAGAGAAAGAAGGCTAACTGCGTGGATCATCTGCTCCTGGTGATTGCAGGCAGGAAGAAGGAAGAGCTACTACAGGTTGCTGGCTTGCTGCTAAAGGTCTTGGTGGAGAGAAGAACAGAGGAGGTGTGCTGGCTGCTCGATTTCACCTGCTGCTTGCCCAGTTGGAGGAAGAAAAAGAAAGAAGATAGCCATTGGCCCATTGGGAATTGCTTGCTCGGTGGAGAGAAATCAATGCGCGAAGCTATGCGCCCTGTTCGATGGGCTGATTTGTACTGAGAGAAAAATTATGACAGAATCGTCTAAAATAGCACATTTATGGAGGCGCTCGTCTTCCACCAGATACTAAGTATCTCAAAAGCAAGCTAAAGCAGGCGGTATCCGTCGAGCACACCCCAAGGGAGAACCCAAAAAATCCACATTTTCCCCCAATGATCCAATAATAAGAACGAATTACGATACTTAATCCATTTCATACATCCAGAATTCTTAGAAATTCATTATTATATTGCCAAATATCAGAATGCAGAATATTAAACAGCGAAAATCAATAATAAACATCTAGCGATTAAAGAACAAGGATCTGTCTATGCCCACCAGATGAATCCTCCACAAAAATATACTCCTCAAGTGCTACCTGCAACAGGGGTAATTAAACCCTGAGTACACAATGTACTCGCAAGACTTATCCGATTAGTGGAAATAATTTCCCGACTCCAAAAGATATGATAAGTTTTATGGTTTGCTAATTTTTTTTTGCGAAACGCAATACTAAGAGTGAGTCCTTATTGCTGTCATTATTAATAGTCGTATTAGTTTGTTATCTAGTCATTCTATGTAAGCACATATTCTACTTTCAAGTAAGAGTTGAGCAATTAGTTTCATTTCAGCATCTTTCATCTTCCAGTTCTTACTACGGTGCTAGACACAAAACAAGCCGTACCGGATTGCCTGGCAATTCGCGAATCAATGTCCCCAGCTGGGTACCCCAAAAACACACGCCCTGCTTGTACCCCAGGCACAAGCAGGACTAAACCATCACCCTCCTATCCTGGGTGTCCAGGTCTCCGTCCAAACTTAGACTCCAAACCTCCACTCCTGAGTCCCGGACTCAGTGCGGTGCAAGGACCTCCACCATCCCCGCCTCCAATCAGTCGGTCCGAAATAGTCGGATCCACGACAAGAGAGCAACGAGTCTTCCCTGCGCCCATACCCAAGTATGTGCTCGGGATAATAAATCTGTGACTTGCCCCGATGACTTATGCAACGACCGGTCCTTAATCGACACAGACAGGGAAAAAGTGTAACCGAGCTATACCCTGTTGGCCGCAGGACACAACCCCTTACACCCATTAATACCCAAACCATATCACTGTCCGGTCACCATTTACCTTTACATCATTTTATCATGAGTGATCATATTTATCACCTATTTGTGAGTAACGGTAGGTTACTCACACTATCGATATCCTGAGACTAGCAGCTACTCGACTTATACTAGTAGAACTCATAGGTAGATAAATTTATGCATGTAGTTTCTATAAAATGCCTGTAACGTAGATGCACATCATATATATATTCAGTGATCATAAAATATGGGTTATGCACCGGGGCTTGCCTTGGGCAGGCGACGGGTCAGCAAAGTCAGCACCAAAAGGTTCCGAGGCTCCCTCCTACACGATGATCTCCTCCTCATACTCCTCAATGACCTCTTCATAATCCTGTTCGTCCACGGGCACGAACTCTACCAACTCGTGATTTACATGCATGAAATGATGATGCAACACTTAATAACATGGCAACAACAGCTCTTAAAATAAACTATATCTTATCAAGTTACTAAGCTAGTCTTACCGGTTAAGGTACTAAGTTATCTACCATTACCACTAGCAAGTATGAAGCATGACATACATTATCACAACAACTAAAGGTATTCTTACTCTTAATACTGATTTACTCTATTTATCAACTTACTCTAGGGCTACAAAATTTACAGCAAGTACATAATAATCTAGTGAGCCTACTGTAAAATTTTAAAAGCTATAGCTATCACCAATTTAGCACAAAATTTCCTACAAATATTAATCTAAATAATACTAAGCTCTCTAGTTTGGATTTATGAACCTATCACTATCACAGCTATCTGTAAACTAACTACACTAACAGATAGATGGCATTTTTATGAACCTAACAAACTTGGTCTCACTATTTTTGGACATCTATAGAATTTACTATAATTTCTCAAAGTTCAGCTAAAAACTATATTGAATAAACATTTGTAATTCACTGGAAAATTGAAAAACCGATTTCACAGCGCGGCCCGCGAGCGAACGGCTCGGCCCACCCTGGCGTCTCGCCCGCGCACGCATGCAGCACCCGGCGTGGCCCACGCAGCAGCGCGCGAACGCGACCCACGCTACGCGGCCCATGGCGGAGCCCACGCGCGGCTGGCTCTTTAGCGAAAGAGCCCCCGTTCTCTATTCTATTCGCGAATCTCACTCGAGCACTATTTCACTGAGTCATAGAGTTTGCATCTACCACCCTGCTTCTACTTGAATTCATGTTCTACGAAGTCCCTGGCTAGAACTAACAGAGGCCGCACCTCTCCGGCCAAACGCCGGCGAGGACAAGCCTCCCCGACACAAACCAGCACCACCATGGCACTCAACGCGCAAAGCGCAACGGATCAATGTATAAAATGCCGCCATTGGTGAAGCACGAAGTCGTGGCCATGCGCCGTAGCGGGGTCTGGCCATGGCAACACCAGTGCTGGCGAAATATCCTAGCCCCATGCCTCTACTGCTACCCTTTTCCATCTATGGACAACAAGCAACAATATAGGAACCTTATTGGAAATGCTACTACACTCCAACTCGCTGGCCACGGAACGACATCTACACCACGTCCGCGGAGGCGGCCATGCGCTCCGGCGAGCCCCCGGCCCTAATCAGTCCAACCAACAACCCTAGGAGCAGGAGGGCCTCACCAGCGACATGAAGGGTAGGCTGGACAAAGTCGCGAGACATGGCAGGGTAATTGACCACGTGCACGGGAGTGTTCTGGTTCACGGCAAGCACGGCGACTGCGTTCCTGGCGACCTGCTACTCCATCGGCAAAACTGCTACACGGTCGAGGCAACCAAGTCAAGGGGACGCAAAAGCGCTGCTCAATTGATACAACGAAGCAACGAGTGACGCATTGGCTGAGCACCCGCCTCGGTGGCCATGGCGGACCGCCACGGGGAAAACACCTTGCATTACCTCACTGGCGAATGAAAGCTCGTCGGGTCGATTCCACTCCCAAGCTAACTACTAGAACTAGTTTGGTGCTCGGTTAATTGGAAAACGGTGGACAACGCAAGGCCAATTTCTTTGGGCGACGCCATTCGGACCTATGGCGGTCGGCGATGGGCGAACACTTAAATTAGAGACGGGCGCCATATGGTAGCAGCGGTGCCAAGTCTGGCACGACTGCGGGACCCCAAACCAACCTCCAGACATGCGCATCTACCATCTAGGGCCAGCGCTGCGGTTAGGCCTTGGCGCGGCACGGCTAGCTGGCGCGACGACATTCCAGGCGACACGACGGGAAAATGTGGCATGGCACCGCACGTAGACATGAAGGCGATGGCAGGCGGGGCCAGCCCACACGCATGCAGCCAGAGGGTCAACGGGAGCAGTAGCCGCATGGCAGTGGTGGACGGCGCGCAGCGCGACCGGGGTGCAGTGTGGCGCGACGGCGAGCCATGGGC